TTATGGAGTATAGCTTTACGAGCGAGGAATAAAGACGTATCTATGTCTGCCATACAGTATATCAACAATTATTATATTGGTTATGGTCATGGTTTATTAGATAAAGAGGAAGAGTTCGTTAAACGCTGTATGGACAGTTTAGTTGAAGCTCTAAGCCGAGTTAGAGAGGTAGGATATTCATTGGAACTGTAACATGTTTGTGAGGATTTAGATGATAAGGGCGAAAGAAAAAAAATAATCACGATTAAAAAGTAAAAAAAAATACTTGCTCCTTCAGTCTTTGGTTGAAGTTCTTATAGCTGAGTTAGGGAGGTGGGAAATTCATTGGAATGCAACATGTTTGTGAGGACTTGGATGATGAGGGCAGGGCAAAAGAGAAAATAGTTGACGACGTATTTCACAAAAAAAAAAGCAAAAAAAAAAAAGCTGCTTCAGACTTACTCCCGTTAGGGACTAATCAATTATGGAGGTTTACCAGTGTAAAAATATAGTTATGAAGAAATGACTAGGTGACAATTCAAAATGGGGGAGGAATTGAGGAAACCTGAGATCGCAAGAAAAGGAATGTTACCTTGGTCCCCCAAGAACCCTCTCCAGCACAACCATAGCAGTAAAGCTACAGCAGGGTTGTGAAAATCCACTAGCCCGATGCCCGGGTCTACCAGAAATAACCCCCCTCCAGCACAACTATAGCAATAAAGCTATTGAGTTTAATATCATGCCTCGTTAACTCTGATCAAATCCTTCTGAGAGTGACATCAATAATTTTGACAAAATTTGCTTTTGCATATTGTATAATCCTTTTTAAATTTGTTTTTCTAGGATCCTAAAGGAAGTCTTTTAGTTCTACAAAGAGGTCTGACATTATTGAAGAATCATCTGGAAGCATTTAGAAGACGTTATGCTTTCCATCTGCGTAACTGGCAAATTGATGGAAGTGGTATTCATAGTCATCAACAACATCGATTTGAGAAACAACCAACTCCTATTAGAATCCATCTTCAGCCAGCGGGCATGTCAGAAAAGGTAAAAAAACAATAATTAAGAAAATTTGACAAATGAAAATGAAATGGGTTTAGCGTTCTACTTTTCTGAAGTGCTCTAATAAAGCATGGCATATGAGGCACAATTTTTCTTGGACAGCAGTGTTTCCACTTACTCTTTACCGAATTCAAAATTTTCAAGGGTCTTTTACGTGCGTGCATGAGACCTTGTTTTTTTTGTCACATCCGAATAACTAGACCCTCCTTCTTACATAAGTGAAATAAACAAAGTTATACTGAGATTCTGTGTTTGGATATGGCCTATAAAAATGGTTGTAGCATTTTGAAGATAAAGCTATGCCTCATTTCTTGAGCTTTGGCAGACTGTTTTTCATGTTTGAAAACTTCAGACGAACAAGGCCAAAATAAAAACTAAGAATAAACAAAGAATTGTTTTTACTCGATTGAATTCTCTTATTCCCTCAAAGGGTTTCAAGACACAATTTGAATGTTAAGGTAATGAACTGATGTTTATTTTAACAGACACTGTTAGAAATGATGTCAACAGATCTGGTTGCCGAGTTACGGGCAGAAGTAGCAAGATGGTGGGAAGAATTACAGAAACAACAACAACTTCAGCGCCAACAACTTGAGGGTACTCATGGCGTTCAACTGTCACCCATATTGGGATCTATGCTCCATGATGGACCAATCAGAATGATTACTTTTGGTCAAGAACTAACTGTTGACACAGACGAGAAAACTATCGGTGAAATGCAGTTTAAAGACATGCAGGTATTTTATTGTTTTGATTTCAGAAGCTGATAATATACACAATAAAGTATAATTATATAGTCCATATTAAACTTAGTTAGCATATAGTGCATGCTGTATCATAAGGTCTGTCAGTGAGTCAACTGGCGTGGTTTCAATTCTCTGGTTGTACGTGATAAGGAGGAAACCGGAGGACCCGGAGATAATCCACAAGGTTGGACAGGCGACACTACTCCTTGTCACAAACAAGCATGGAATCGAAAACCACTCCATATGACTCAATGACAGACCTTATGATCTAACACACAGGCATTAAACCATTTGGCAACCGTGCCAACCCCCTGTAATAATTTAAGATGTAACTTAATGTTAATTTGAAATAGGTTACTTGGTTGTTAAAACCCTAAACCAGTCAACTGAGAGATCTGTTTATAAATAAATTGATACTCGTCCAGTTAACACAGCGGACAATCTTACATCGGTCCACATACTAGTCGCTTCCAACTTCTGATTTCCAAGGCATTATTGTCCAAACCTTGACTCTCATACCAATAAACCATTTGGTACTATTTCGTACCTATTTCATATTAAACCCCTCAGGCGCCATGTTGAATCACACAGTATTTAACGTTCTAAAACCTAACTACTTCATGGAATCAACAACAAATCTAAACTTGGGCACTCCAACCATTTTTATTTTTATTTTTATATCTAAATAAATTGATATATTGTTGTTTCAGTTGGTGTTTGTATCTGTTGGTGCCAGTCGACAACCGAAGAAAATCGATGGTTCTATTCCTCCTTCTGGTCTAACAGCTCCACCTAGAGATAAATTACCCATGATTCTTCTCCTACAAGAACCTCATTTTGATAATTTATTTATGTTGTTAGAACAGTTGAGTAATCTGGATACAGATTTAGTAGAAATGGTGAGTAACGTGGAACAAAATGAAGGGAAATTTTTTGTTTTGATGAGTTTATATTTTCCAACCAATGTTCAGATTGTTCAAGAGACAAATGTACATCAATCTCATTAAAATACAGATCTATATTTCGTTTCATATTTTTATACTTTCGATACAATCTGACTGGTTGTACTGGAAGGTCACACCGGGGGTCATACGAGCGGCTTTTGATCCTATGACGTCTATTAATTCATGAAAATATATAGTGGTTTACCCACAGTTCTGTGCATCAAATGCCAAGAACTCACCATAACAGAGCCTTTCATTTGCTAATCCCTCACTTCGGACATCCACCCCCCCTACAAAGAAATTAGGAAAGTGGAGCTTGAATGGGCAAAATCTAAGGATTTCAACAAATGTTTAACACAGGAATTATTTATATCTAGAATTTATTGTTAAAAAGTTTATAGATGATTGAATTATTTTTGTAGGATTGTCATGAAATAACTGGTTTACAAGCTGAAGCTAGACGTTTGTCTCGTAGTGTGTGGGAATTATTAATGATATTACCTACAAGCCAGAAACATCTTGATGGTTTTAAAAGTATCATGTCGGAACAGGTATGTAGTGTTAAATTCGGATCCTTGGATTCTGGGGTGTTGTACAGTTACATGTGAGTGAAAAGGGAAAAACAACCATTCTCCATGTTAGAATTCCAATCTCTTTTTTTTATTACTCAAAAAGGCAGAAGAACTACACCATAAGGGAGACAACTTGTGTCAACCCAAACATAAGGATTCAGGCCACATTGATATAGAAAATACCACAGTTTGACCGTAGGATAAATTAATATTGCATTTTCAGTAGAATACAGAGCTCACAGTGACTGTGAGTATGGCGCTGCCTCACTAATCATATTGTCCTGGGACGATTACCTGTGTTGGGGAAGAAAGTTCCTTAGCATTTGAGGGGTGAATAGCCGAATGGTTAGTGCGTCCGCGCTGAATCGTAAGGTCTATCATTGAGTCAACCTCGTGGGTTTTCTCCAGTTTCCTTCCACTGCTAAAGACCCCCTACGCGCAAGGGAATTATTGAAATATAATAGAGCCATATGTTAGTCTCTCTCTCTCTCTCTCTCTTTTCTTAGCATTTTCTAGCCTGCTTCCCCCCTGTCGCTCGTGAGGGTCAAAGAACAGTGTCTTATCTTTCGATGAAATGGGAAAAAGCTCCTCCGGAATTCTCAGTGCAGATTCTCCTTGTCATTCAGTTTCAAGGTGTATTTGTTTGAAGTCCTGTCAACAATTTATCGTGAATGTAAAAGAAGCTTTGACCGTTGGATTTTATCAAAGAGATGACAAAAATTCTGCTGCCCAGGCAAAATTTCACTCATATCCCACTGCATTTTATTTCATATCTCAGTTGTTTATTGTCTCCATCTTTTATATTTTTCAGTCAGTAATAGAAGAGAAGACACCAAATGTAGATTGGAATAATTTATTACCTCCATCTAGTCCACATCGTTTATACTACTCTCTACAGATTGTAGAATTTCTCTCACATAGTTCGAAAATTAGACGAAAATCTGTCGTAAGTAGTTCAAGTTCTATACACACCTGCATGCTGTATCATAGGGCCTGTCATTGAGTCAACTGGCAGGGTTTTGATTCTCAGTTTGTACGTGACGAGTAGGGTCGCCTGTCCAACCTCGTGGGTTTTCTCCGGGTCCTCCGGTTTGCTTCCACTGCTAAAGACCCCTTTGACGCAATTGAATTATTGAAATAAAATTGAATCATGTGTTAGTCCCAAAATGACCTAGTTTGTGTGGAGTGGAGTTAAACCCCATTTCTCTCTCTCTCTCTCTCTCTCTCTCTCTGGTCGTTCTGATAGGGTAACATGCATGTAAACTAACCCTTGGCATTTGGATTTCGACAAAGAATGGGCAGAAGCACTGCAAAATTTGAAATCAATTAGAATATAAAAATTTTTGATGAAACTGTCAAAACCAAAGTATAATGCATTAAAGACCATTATGAAAATCATTATCTGTCATGAAAATTTGGAGTGAATTAGGTCTTTTCCAGCCGACTGAGGAAGCCTTATTTCCAGGCTTGTAATTGAGTTTAAGACTGTGATACGTAATTGAGTTTAAGACTGTGATATGTAATTGAGTTTAAGACTGTGATATGTAATTGAGTTTAAGACTGTGATATGTAATTGAGTTTAAGACTGTGATATGTAATTGAGTTTAAAACTGTGATACATATTGTGTTAAACAAGCACCTGCCTTACTCTAACTAAAATGTTATACATATGTAAATTGTGTTATATTATATTACAGATGAAATCAGGAGGAGGTGATGCGTACGTTTTGGGTGATTCCGACAGTCCGGGTAGTGATCATTCCGATAATATCTGGAGTTCAAAGGTAATATTTTGGTTGCTTGTGCTTTAGATAATTCTGTGAAAAGTTCTGTCCCAAAGAAACTTTAACACATTGTAATAAACATACACAAAGATGTTTTTTCTGCAAATTTGTCCATACTATTCAAACATAGATATATATCATGTGTTAGTCCCAAAATGACTTTGTGTGTGTGTTGAGTTTAGACTCTTCCCCCACCCCTTCTCTCTCTCTCAAGAACAATATTGTATTATTGTAATGATTCTGTATATTAAACATATATTGTCTATTGCAAGCCTTTCTTTAGGCCTGAGGGGGGTTGGATGGCTGAATGGTTAGCGTGCGCGCGCTGTATCATAAAGTCTGTCATTGAGTCGACTGGCGTGGTTTTGAATCCCCGGTTGTACGTGGCAAGGAGTAGGGTCGCCTGTCCAACCTCGTGGGTTTTCTCCGGGTCCTCCGGTTTCCTCCCACTGCTAAAGACCCCTACGCGCAAGCGAATTATGTAAATAAAATTAAACCATATGTTAGTCCCGAAATGACCTAGTTTGTGTCGAGTGGACGTTAAACCCCATTTCTCTCTCTCTCTCTCTTTAGGCCTGAAATGTTATCTAAATTATTAATTAAACATTAGTTAGCTCATCAAGACCATAATCAACTCTCAATGCCATTGTTAGCCTGCGATATTTAGTGGATTTGAATACCTTTTATGACAGATGATTCAACATAAAAATGGATAACTGAGACTATTTTTTATTATCGTACAAATGGTAGTTATGACGTTTGAGGCTAGCCTAAAATTGAATCGTTAATATCTCAGTTCAAAGTGAAGCAATTGGACTGAAATTTTCAGCATATTCTGTTTTCATTATCTATTTTTAAACTATTATAGCGAGAACTGTCAGCTCTTTATCTAATCTTCCATAATGCCCCTTTAAGAAAAATACCATATTATTGTTTTGAATCTCTCCCCTGTCATATTAATGACTTTATTGTTGTCTATTTTAGTTTATATCTAAAGGTGGATTAAGTCATTTGTTTAATATTTTTATGACGGGATCACTACAACCAAAAGAAGGTGATGTTTGGAGTCAGGTAAAATAATATTCTATTAAAACAAAAGAAAATTTAATTCCAAGAACTGCAAAAATATTACTTTTAACAGTTACTCCCCTTTGTTATTTATTAAATTGTGCATGTCATGCTTAAATTTTACTTCTTTCATTTTTGAATTTTATTTTCTAAAATGGAATTCATGTACTATATACTTTATAAAACCTATTTTGAATTTTTATATTTCTAGTGGAATCAGGAATGTTTGGCATATTTATTACGTCTGATGAGTCAGTTTGCCGTTGGTTTGTCTGATAACGATTCCAGTGCTGATGACGAATCGTATGAAAGTCCCAGAAAGAAAATTAAAAAACAAAAAGGAATAAATGAGAAGATTATTATCCCTCGATTAAATCAGGTATTGTTCTTCTTACTCAGAATAAACCATATGTTAGTCCCGAAATGACCTAGTTTGTGTCGAGTTGGCATTAAACCCCATTTCTCTCTCTCTCTCTCTTACTCAGAATGAAAGGGGGTTGGATGGCCGAATGGTTAGACTTTTGATCAATCTATGTCTGTCATTTTCATGCCAGTGAATTTTAACCCTTGTTTCAGCCAATTTTGTCTTGCTGATCATGCCAGGGAATTTAAATGATTAACATATTTTCTCGTAAATTATATAAAAGAAACAAAATATATATGATCCAGTTTGTGGTCTTTATACAAAATACAACATAAATATGGCTTCTAAAGACCCCCCCCCCCCCCCAAAAAAAAACACCCCAAAACAACGAAAGTAAAACAAAGGTTAAGAAAGAAAAATATACTGTGTAATTAATTATCTGTTTGGTATACAGTTTGTTTAAAAGAGAGTTAAAAAGACATATGTAACAAAAACAAAAGAAAACCTTATTTTTTAAAGATAGGACAAGGTTGAAAGAAACGTTCATATTTTCAGATTTGATCATAATAACTTAAAAGCGCCTAAAAAACTGCGGTTGAATAAATATGAGATTTGATTATGTTTTTTTTTCTATCATATTTGATTGAAATTTTCAGAGCACATTGAATGATTTAAATGTAGAATCAGTACTAAAGATTTTGATGCAGATTTTATATGAAGCAGCTTTACCAGAGTAAGTGGTGGAAAAGATTAGTTTTTACCGCGATAAGTTTTATGTCTTCATATTGAGCAATGTGAACTTTCTAAATGAATGACAAGTGTTATCAGGTGTTATAGCGTATTGTTTAGCACATGAATTTCAGAAGTTGATGCTACTGGGAAGAATGCAATGTCTGTCGTTGGGTGGCCGAATGGATCAGAAAATCTGTCATTTAGTCAAGTGGTGTGGTTTCGATTCCCTGCTTGTACATGACAAGGAGTAGGGTTGCCTGTCCAACCTCTGGGTTCTCCAGTTTCCTCCCACTGCTAAAGACCCCTATGCGCTAGCAAAATATTGAAATGACCTATGTGAGCAAGGCTACTGAGAAGAATTCTGCCCCGACAGTGGTGCTTGCACTTGCTCCTCATGAACTGTCAGAGGTTGTTTTACATGAACGCCAATGTATACAGGAGTGCACCTTGGTTTTTCATATCACCCAATGGACTTGACTAACTTGAAAAAGAGGGTACTTGAAAAATGCAAAATCTTCTTGATCCATGTGCGGCCCCTGACAATTTGATACTTTGTGTCAGGGGGGGTTGGATGGCTGAATGGTTAGCGTGCGCGCGCTGTATCATAAAGTCTGTCATTGAGTCAACTGGCGTGGTTTCGAATCCCCGGTTGTACGTGACAAGGAGTAGGGTCGCCTGTCCAACCTCGTGGGTTTTCTCCGGGTCCTCCGGTTTCCTCCCACTGCTAAAGACCCCTACGCGCAAGCGAATTAATGAAATAAAATTAACCATATGTTAGTCCCGAAATGACCTAGTTTGTGTTGAGTGGACGTTAAACCCCATTTCTCTCTCTCTCTCACTTTGTGTCAGACATGTATTATAAACATTGATAAGAGACAACTGAGTGACTGAGAAAAAGACAGACATCAGAGGCCCTGTACCTGACAAAGCTTGACTTTGTACCTGACAATGTCTTCGACAACAGGTGCTCTATTTCTAGACTTGTTATTACAGTGTAATAATCGTGTAATATTGTATATTTTATAGAGATAATAATCAGTTGTATCTTGGATCCTGGGGAAGAGCAGAAGGTAAGATATTTTTGAGATTTGGAACAAGTCAAGATCGCCAGAACTTATAGCGATTTAATTTGTAGGTACTGACTGTGTCTGACTAACATTTGGCTTAGATATTGTTATATTCGGATCCATGGAAACAACCATTCTTCATGTTAGAGTTCCAAATCTCTTTATTACTCAAAAAGGCAGAAGAACTACCACATAAGGGAGACAACTTGTGTTGACTTAAATATAAGGTTTCAGACCACAATGATAAAGAATATACCACAACATGACAATATTAAACTCTCTTTAAGTATGTTGTATTGACCTATATAACTCTAATAAAGAAAAATTTGTTCTTTCTTCCCTTTTCCTCAGTACTTTTTTTTACTTTCTTCCAGTTGTACATTATGCCCTGTCGTTCCTGGTATCTCTAGCCTATTCCTGTGATGAAGTTCATTGCTTGTTGTGTTCAGATCCAACTTTTACAGCTTGGTTAAAAAGATTAACTCTAGAAGCTCCAGAGGTAAATAAAACGTTGAGTCAGAACTTGAGTCAGAAAAAAAAATGTATTAAGACATTAAAACATTTATTTTGACTTTGATAGTTACTTAATCATGCTGCTTTGTCGATAAAGGGAGCCAAGTGACTCAGTAAGTCTAAGGTCTGAGAAACTTTCTGAAGAGTTTCAAGCATGGTATCCTCTTGTCATTGGTGTAGAAATGAAATGAAATGGAATTGGGTTTAACATCCTATTGTTCTGCTCCGACTGGGCTGATGAAGACGGGCATACGCCATACAGTGTGCTATGATGAAATTTGGCCCCGACAGAGGCACTACGGAGTACTCTTATATCGAATTCCAACTGCCAAAAAATCTTTTACGTGCATGCCAATGTGTACACAGGACCTCAGATTTTCGTCCCATTCGAACAACTAGACAGCTGTCCTTGTCAGGCCCTCTGTCCTACACCACTGGTAAGTCATTGATGTAGAATAAAGGCCCTACCAAAAGAACCCTTGACAATGGAATTTGAGGAAAAGTAGGCAGAAATACTGTCCCTTTTCATTAGCCTTGTTGGTGCAGAAAAGTATTACATTAAATTCCATTTAATTCGTCTGAATTTTTAAAATTATTTTCAATAAAATGTGAACTTTAATTCGCAGTATCAGCCTCTTATAACTGAATGCATTGTAAAATCAGTTGGAACCACTTAGATATATTTTTTCATCAACACTCTCAGAAAGCTTGTTTTCAATTAAATGTGAACTGTTTATTTTATTTCAGCCATATGTTCGTAAGGAAGCCTGTATGGGTTTATATAGATTGTGTTTAGGAAAGACCGTGGATGAGAAATCAGGCTATAATTTTATTTTACCAATATTATCTAATTTATTAGATTTCTTATCAGACGCTCTTTTATTTAAACCACAAAAATCTAACGAGGTAAGTTCAAAATATATTTTAAAGGGACAATAACACTCTTGCTGGCTTGACAGCTCCAGAAAATAAAAAAAATAGCCTTATTCTAAGTACTAGATGTGTTAGTGTCCTACCTGTTGTGTAAATTATCCATTAAATCCTATTTTACTTGTCCAGAGGGTTCAAAAATATTTTTAAATCCAAGTCATATTTGAAAAGCTTTACGCCAGGCTTTTCAAATCATTTAGTTAAATTTTTCCAATTTTTTAAATTAGGTGTGTTAAGATGAAA